AACGTATTGAAATATTGAGAAAATTTATCAGAAACTTAATTCCTACTACCGTACTGTGGTGACGTATTCAATAATTAAGTTTAGGTGACTAACCTCTACGAAGTTGCGGATACACCTTTCGGTGGTGTTCTGAAAGCTTTAGCTGACGATGGTACGTACTGCTCTTTTGTGCCTTAAACATATACTCCCCTTTCAAAAACGAGAAGTGTCGGGTGCAGACCATACACCACAAGTGACGACGGCCTCCACAAAATGTAATGTTTTCTGCCAATGAAATGATTAGCCTGTTGCAGTTGTATTCTATCAGTTGTCACTAATTACAACTATCATTTACCAAAAATCAGCTATCACTATGAACCACTACTAACCAGATTTACTTGGAGGCCGTCGTCACTTGTGGTGTATGGTCTGCACCCGACGCTCTTCTCGTTTTTTGAAAGGGAGGGTATGTCATGCGACATTAAGGAGTGTAATTGGAATTTATTTCAGCTGATCCATCAGAATCATTGTTGCAAGTGCTACCTCCCACCGATTCCTTGTTAAAGGAATGTAAAAAGGTAACTTCATGATTTGTATGACTATCATACCTAGATTTTTGTTTCTACACCTAAGACTTCAATAAGATCATTCTCGAAAGGCCTTTGGACCGAATTTTTCAAAGGTTCCGTTATTTCCGCACACATATGGGTTAACATAGATTTTGAGACCGAGTAGGACAAGGTGCAGGATATAAATACACTGAGCGAGGGCTGGAGGGCGTTGCAGTTTTGATGACGTCATTATACGTCATTGGTGGAGTTTCGTACGGAGCATTTCCAACCACACCCTTATTGTTAGCGCTGAGAGGTCTAGTCTCACCAGTGACGCTCAAGGACGTCATCGCAACCGCACCACCCCACAGCCATCGCGATCACTACTTTTGAACGGGGGTTAATCTAAAGCTTATAGCCAATGACGGATTCGCTGGATCGGAACTTTGCGCCAGCGAATCGATCGATGCGCCAGCGAGTCGAACGATGTACCAGCGACTCGACACTGTTTGAAAGTGGCGGGACCCAACGTTAAAGGAAGTCCACTTTAACACGTTGACGACCGCGCTATTTTTCGCTGTCTGGCGTGTGGGACCGCGCGCATTATTTTGACCGCGCGAGTGTGACATGGCATCATGTCAAACGGTCCCACGAGAACTCCTTTTTCTCAGGAAGTGTGTATTTGTTATCTTTCTTGTGTGGTAGGTCTCCGATTATGCGATTTTGGCCATTTTAGCGATTCCTGTGATTTGATCATTATTCAAACATTTTTAGAAAAACTCGATAGCCCATCAACCGAAGCTTCTTTCCAGGGACCACGCCTTTTGTAACAATGCCTAAGTAAACCAGCTTAAAAAAGACTGTGACATGACATCATGTCACACGGTCCCACGTGGCCGAAAGAGTGTGGTATGACATCATACCACACGGTCGTCAACGTTTAAATATTTAAAAGACAGTAGTTAACACGGCGATTAAAGTTATACGTTTTACACGTTTGAAAGTGGCGGGACTTCCTTTGAACGTTGGGTCCCGCCACTTTCAAACAGTGAGTCGCTGGTACATAGTTCGACTCGCTGGTGCAACGTTCGATTCGCTGGCGCAACGCTCGGATCCAGCGATTCGCTAGCGAATCGCTCGATTCGCAAACTATGACATCGGCCTTATGGTTTGACTCTGGTGGACAAGGTGATCGTGAAGGGTCCGAATTAAGCGCCAGGCATTGAGGAACTTATGTAGAACGGCATCATAGATAAAACAAAGAAGCAATCACTTTGTCACTCTGTACAATCTTACTTTTGCCGGTGGCCTCAGTGAGCAGATATGACTTTTTTGCTCCATCCTTTCCCTCTCCGCCGACCTTATTATGCCCACAGCAAGCCCACTGCAAGTTCACATTTTTTCAGGCTCTATCGGTAAACGAGTCGGCTCCTAAATGGATTCGCGACGCAGTAGAAAGGATTTCTTCACTACTGAAATCTAACCTGAAGGCGAAAAAGGAAGAAAAGGAAAGAAGAAAAAAGGCTGTGCTAAGTGTCCCTGAAACAAACCTAATTTTCATGAACAGGCCCCAAGTAGATGAGGAGATGGAATGTATGGCTCGTTGAAGTTTGTTCCCTTGGCTTGTTAACGGTTTTTGTTATCATTTTCTTTCACTTTGAGAGAAATCTTGTTTTGTAAATGATCTCGAGCAGTTGTTATGAGTACGCAGTAATAAGACCGGTTTTTATTCATTTAGTTCATTCGATCAATACACATAGCATCATAGCATCAGCCTTATGTTAACCATAAAGTTTTTTTTACAATATTTTCACAACAACGATATTGGTCATGCAACATATAAAGTGCTTAAATTGAGATCCTGAGATCTAAAAATTCCGGTGTGCTCGTGTACTTTTGGAAAGTGAATGTCGGCCAGCACACGTCTTACTTCGATTTCGAATTCTGAAATGTGCAACTAAATGAAGTGCCTTGTTTGCTGTTCAACAGAAAGTGGCGGGCAGGCAAGAGTTCTGGAAGTTAGAGAGTTCCTTGCAGCGCCTTATAACACTTGTTGTCGTTCCCTTCTCAATCTAAAGTGTTTAAATTATTGATTTAAAGGCCCATAGCTGAGTGAAATTATTTCCTCCACGAGCATGGTGGTTAAGCAGTTCTTGCTGCTGGAAGTCACTAGACAGGGACGCGGAATCGCTGTGACGTAGCCCTGGAGCGTCCGGTAAAGGCATGGGTTGCGATTAGATCCTCTCCTAGAGTGAGTTAACAGGGCTCTTACCAGGTCTTTAGGGCTTGCCAAGCTTTTTGACAACGGTTTTTTGCATGATATAGGGTCACTTAACCAGGAAGGTCTTTCAGGGCGTGACAGCTTTTTGAAAACGGTCTTTTGCATGATATAGGGGCATGCGGGAACCACAGAACCATGTTTAATTTTTCCTGAACGGCCCTCTGAATACCAGAAAAGGGGTCCCTAGTTCGATTCCTCGTGGTGACAAATTTTTGCATTTCGAGTTGACGTTCCAAAATTCGCGCAAAATGGAGTTAGCATGAATAATTAGTACCATATTCATGATTAGGACCGTCAGTAACCCTTACAAATAGACTTTGACTTAAAAACTGGTGTAAAAAGGTGTGACACCACCTTTTTCCACATTTTTAATCTAATTCTATTTGGATAGGTCTCAACAACCTCTTTTTGTATTTCAGAGGCACCGTTGTTGATAAATCAAAATGATTCTGGTGGTTCCGCTTGTATCCCTATTTATCAAAGCTGTTTTTTTTGAAAAAGCCTGGCACACTCTGAACGGACGCTCCCTTGTTATTCACAGAGGTGGCGATACTATCGCGACCTGAAAGTGTGCAACAAGAGAGCTAGTTTGATCGCTTGTCCGCTGCAACCGCTGCCATTCTTATCGGTCCTACATCCGTGGAGACTGCGCCCTCTTCGCGGCGCTCCGTCTCTCCGTTGTGGTCACGGTCCGAACGATACGAGAAAATCACACTGTTTTTTGAGGAGATTTAAACTTTCTTCCCACGACCTGCTCTTCCTTAATTTTTCAATTTGAACTAAAAGCGCACTAATATGATTCTTCGAAACGAAGTGTTTGAATTTTTTTGCTGGTGGGAGGGGGTTGTCTTGAAAATTCAGAAGGCGGGGGGGGGGAGCTGCTCTGTTCAGTCGCCAAAGTGTCGCCATTTATAGTGAGACAGGTGAGAAGGGCCGAGGCGAAAACTGTGAGTGTGTCACGTGTTCGCGAATACGACAGTGTTAATCTATATAGGAAGTGACGTAGAGAGATGGGGTGGGTCTCGGTCCAAAATTGCATCCCCCTCTGCTTCCGCTCGCGACCGCCCATTTTTTATGTCTATTACATTGTCTAGAAACAGTTTTTACACAAGGTCTGGAGGCAACCGCAAAGGAGTGTTGAATTCGAGGCATATTTTCATGATTTCCTTTGCCTATTTTAGTTAGCAAAGCTTTTAACCAACATACTTACATACCTGGTCTGAATTACCAACATCCTGTCGCCATAAAATATGCTGTTGAGAAATCCGAACAATGAAAGGTGTAATAATGATAGGCCAGGAACGTCAACCAGTGATACTTGATTTGTCTCGTCCTGATCGAGGATCCGCGTATTTATAGCCCTTCCTTGAGAATGTCTAATTGTTGTTTAGTCATTTTACGGACATGTTCATGCCAATGTTCCAAGACTTCTTTGAGTGCCACTTGGTGGTTATGGTCCGTATCTATGTCCTGTAATGTGGGAATGCAAAAATGGCGTTTTTTCTCGGAATTTTCTCCACATCATCTCCAACCAAGCTCAATATCTCTGATAGATATTTTCATTTGGAGCTTATGTAGCGCAATAGAAACCCAGACACGCAAACCTGCAGGAGGTGGGAATTGCCGCCAGCTTAATCCGAAGTCGTTCCTAGCCAAGAGGCGTCTAATTGATCCGATGGTGCCGAACCTTGTATTATAAAATTCTGGGAAAGATAGATAATCTTTTAGAACGCCGAAGTACAGTTTAGGTGTTTAGAGGTTTTGACACAACTCCTTACAAAGTTGAACATTTTGCTCCTGCGGCTCGCTGTAAATTCGCTTTACCTCCTCCTTAGCTCAACTACCATGTCTAAACACAGAGGGCACTTCTTGGGAACCGGCGTAAACTTGGAAAGTTTCACGATCAAGCTGAGTATTCGTAAACTACCCCACTCGAAGATCTGGAGATTATCGAATTAAGATACCAATCCATAAGGCGTGAACAGACTTGCGAATCGAGCGATTTTACGCACCAGCGGGTGCGTTGCGAGCCACCAACTAAGCCAGGCTCGATGGCCGCGACGCCACCGGCAAACGATAGCGAAATTCGCTTCGATGGTCGAGAGTTCGACATCGCGCGAAGAGATTTTTGGCTACACGAAGTGGAGTTAGGTATGCATGGATGAATGGACAGTAATGAATGAAGATGCTCCAGCGTCATTTTTTCCGACAGAGTTTCCTGCACCAAAGAATGACCTCATTTGGGGGCGATTGTGTATTGAGCAGTGCCTACTTCAAGACAATTGCGCAATGAGGCTAGTAGATTCCCGGATTAATAACTCATATTCGTTTTTGCCTAATGTAAAGCCTTTGTAGAGATTATTCAAAATCATGGTTGTTGACATTGCCCTCGGTTAGGTTATGGAGAACCAATACAGGGGAAACTTCTGAATACGGGGTTCCATAAATATGGCCACTCCATGATTTCGAGGTCCTTAAAGGACGAATTCACGCTGGGAAGGCAACCCATTTCAAATTAACTCAGGGATGGTGATTGGTACACGAAAGAAGGAAGAACCATGAGAAACGGCCCAGAACCCGAGAAATGGGACCCCTTCCTTCCCCGCTGATTTGCGCATTGATGCGACTCTTATCGCTGTGCCCTCCTCAACATCACGCTCTCTCTGCTATCTAATCAATCCCACGTATAGATCTGCGGCGAGTGATCAGCTGGTCGGTGGGCGGAGATCGCCAGACCCGCCAACTTTGAGGCATAATAGGTCGCCGAGGTCAAATTTTTCGATGCGAATTGCGCATCAGTTCGCACCCTCAGGAGGTCCGTGGGTTACTCAACTAGGTGAATTACTTCTTCCTCGACCTCCATTCTAATCGTAAAATCCTCCTTTAAATTCGTGTCTGTTTCCGGGCTCTTTACCAAGATTGGCAGAACTTTTATTGATCTATCTTCTTATGAATGGCCATGTCAAATCTCATGGCTAACCGTTGAGACTGCATCGCATGGTGCGCCCAAATTTCACAGAATGCTCAATCTTTCGCACACAAGATAATAAGTTCAGGAAAACAGATTAATATACACGCTAACCCGCGTTGCGCCTGGAGACAATGTGAAGCCCGTCAACAAGACGGCCGACGAACTTCATCCATTTTAATCGCTGGCGCGCAACGCAGGTGCTAAGGTCGAGCTACGCAATCAGTGAGCTACCCAGCTTTCAGGGCAGCAGTTCCCAAAAATGGAGAAGCGGAGAAGCGTTGCAGCAATCGTCTGCCGCTTGCGCGGCGAGAATGGACATGCGTGCCATCCTCCACCCCCTACATGAACGGCGGCCAGTATACCTGGCAAGTTTATGCCGCTTCTTCCTCGTTAAAAGATTACATTTTTCCCCTATTTACTCAGATTATACGCTTTTGTCATACTTGCGCCGAAATAATAATTGTACTGGTAAAATACGTTAAATAATGCCGCCCACGTCTTTTCAAAAAATCCAAGTAAAAATAAATCAGAATCCAATGGATTCATTGCAATTCTTTCTGATGCTAGCCCGCAACGGAAGTTTTAGCTCTAGCTTCGGCACTAGCCCACAAACAACAACTTCTATGCAATTGGCCGCCGTTGTCAACACAATCAGAACACGTTGTGTCGTTACGTAATTTTATTTGTAAACACCATATATTTCATTTACTTCGAGATTTTCTTTATGTTTATCTAGCAACTTTCGTGATAAAAAGGCAGAATTTCATCTATTTCAAGGAAATCCACACACAAGCTTGTGCGACAACTTAATTTTGAAAGGGATCGCCATCATTCCCAGCAATTGGGTCAATGGCCAGTGTTTTTGGGCACAGAGAGAGGATGCCTAATTGATAGGGCGAAGAAAGGATAGCAGTAGACGATTAGAGAATGAATTTAAATTTTTTTTTTAAATTTTCTAATCGGCCCTCTGAGTATCAAAATGAGGAGGTCTTAGTGTTGGGGAATTTTTTTATTATTCCTTCGTTGGTGACAATCTTTTGCATTTTAAGTTGATGTTTCCAAAATTCGCAGCAAAATAGAGATAGCAGGAACAATCACGCAACCGTTCATATTAGCAAGCCATAGAAACCCTCGCAGAACTGATTCGAGAACTTGTTGAGATCAATTATGACACAAAGTCCTTTTGTTCAATTGTTTTCACAATTTTGAGCAAACTCACCTGTATAGGTCACTGATGTTACCTGATTATGATATACGCAATATACTTCATGCCTATCCTATTTTTGAAACTTGGAACGTCAAACTCGAAATGCAAAAAGTTTGTCACCACAGAGAATTGAACCAGTGATCCCTTT